GGATGCAGTGATAAAGGTAGGGCCTCAGAGAAGGTGCGGGGGAGGGGCAGGGCAAGGGAGTCTGGGTTTGAAGAGGATCTGAGCTGGCACTTAATTCCAAAAGTGATTGTGTGCTTATAAAGGGTTAGAGGCCATTGCACTAATAACATAAAAAGGTGAGCTCAAGTTACCTGCCAGATTTTAGTCTTCTGATTATGTTCCACAGCTGTAATACTGAGAGCCTGTGGCCATCAGTCAAAGCTTGAACAATGCTAATCTTGTCAAATTGAGGCCCTGCCTGTCAACTGGTACATTCGTAGACAAGCTCAGCCAGCTGCTGCCTTTCTAATGTGCTGATGGGTACTCAGCCCCTGCCTCCACTCACCCCATCCCTGGGCATGCCCTACCTTCACCTCCTGTACAGCTGACTTGTGGCAGGCAGGAACTGGGGAGAGGGAGAAGAGGTGGAAAAGCTGCTGGCCTGTGATCTCAGTTCTGGGAACCCAGCCTGACTAACTCCCCTTGCCCAGTATAGGATGTAGAGCCCCAGTGTGTGGGGGATTAGTTTAACACCATAATCACCAACCAGTAGATTGGGATCTACTGGTAGATCTTGGAGCCTGTGACAGGTGATCCTGGCTGGTTTGGCCAAGAGGCTATCAAGTGCCAGCACTTCAGCTGCCCTCCCCCCCACTGAAGTGCATCTCTTCCCCTTTGTGCCTGCTCCCAAGGCCTCCTGCTTGCTGTGCAGAGCAGGGGGCACTGATGTGCTTACAGAACAGAGGGTGGACACAACAGGACTTGGGATGGAGTTTGCTCATTGCTTTTGAGAGTGGTGCAATGCCAGAGCAGGGGTGAGCCTGCCTTAGCCCCACTGCACCACCACCCAGGGGCTACCTGAAATAAGCAGTGTCCAGCTGGAGCCAGCTGTGAACTCCTGCCCCAGCCCTAGATCCCCTCCTGCACACCCTGCCCCAGCCCTGAACCCAAACTTCCTTATAGAGCCTTCACCCTGAACCCCATCCTGTACCAGGCTCAGCTCAGAGCCCATCTCACATGCCAAATCCATTAGCCCAAGTCCAGAGCCTACATCCCAACCTTCTGCCCCTGCCTGATGAAAGGGAAGGAGAATGGGGGAGAGTGAGCAGGGGCATGGAGATGGGGCAAGGGTATTTGGGTTTTTAGGTAGCTCATGGATTGCACTTAAATTTAAAAAAGTGATCTCATGCTTAGAAAGGTTGGAGACCACGCGTCTAAGTGCTGGACAGACTTGACCATTGACAAAGAAAGGGATTTAGGTAGTGACCTTTAATCTCATGACCTGGGTTAGTGTCATTCATAGCTGCAGTAGTCACATAGTTAGAAAGCCTCATTTAGTAGCTAAGCGTTGCAGTAAGTCTTGCTGTTGACAGTAGTGAGTTAATCCATTCAGCCCCAGCACCAACATAACTATCATTGATAAAAAGGACTGACCACTGACAAAAGAAGATGCAAAGAAGCCACACTACTTGTTACAAAGGATAAATAACTGAATTCTTCTCTAGCCTTGAATAGATGCAGTACTGTAATGGTGCTTACGCACCTTAAAGGCCATTCTACTCTTGGTTTCTGCAGTATCTCTTCACATTCAACCTTCAGCTACAGGAGGGCAAATGAAGCCTACTACTTCCTACTGGGACCTAGTCTTTAAACTGTCCATGACCTATCTAGAAACACTCATTTCCACCCAGCCTTTTATATTGATTCAACTTTCCCAGTTCTTGAGTTGCCTGTCAATTTAAAATACTGTACCCCAATCTGAATGCAGTACTATACATCTTAATAGGGCAAGGAGAGCAAAATACTCACTAGTTGAACCCTATTGTTATTTCTGTGATTCACTTCACCAGGTCCTCTTACAGCTGCAGCTGTTTCTTTCCAACATTACTGCTCCCTATAGGAATTAGTTATCTTTTAGATTAATAGCTGTAAACAAACATCTCATGGTTTGTTTGTTTTTTAATTTTGAAAAAAACCAAGATATTCACTCTCACATCCTGGTCAAATTCCAATTAATTCATTATTATTTTAACTAACTTGTTTTCTCCTCTCATTTCAGTTAACTATTCCCACATCCTATCTTATGGGCTGTGTCTACACTGCACCCCTTTTCCGGAAAAGGGATGCAGATTAGACCAGTCGGAATTTCAAATCCGCGGGTGATTTAAATATCCCCCGCGGCATTTGCATTTACATGGCTGCCGCTTTTTTCCGGCTTGGGGATAAGCCGGAGAAAAGCACCAGTCTAGACGCGATTCTCCGGAAAATAAGCCCTACTTTCAAGTAGGAATAAGAAATCCTCCGGAAAAGGGCTTATTTTCCAGAGAATCGCATTTAGACTGGCGCTTTTCTCCGGCTTATCCCCAAGCCGGAAAAAAGCGGCAGCCATGTAAATGCAAATGCCGCGGGGGATATTTAAATCACCCGCGGATTTGAAATTCCGACTGGTCTAATCTGCATCCCTTTTCCGGAAAAGGGGTGCAGTGTAGACACAGCCCATGAGTTTGTAAAAATGTCCTGCATTTAAATAGTAGTTGATGAATGAGTTCTCTATCTTTCAGAACAAAACAGCTTGGGATCCAACTTTCCTGCGTACTAAAAGCTACATAAACGTGTACTAAGAACATTGCAGCTATAAATTTCAATAATAAGCTAAGTTTAATTGAAGGTTTGACTTGACACTTTATATGCCAGGCTTTTTTTTTTTTTTTTTTTTTTTTTAAATCTTGCAACACACTAACAAACTACTGGACACATCACCTATCTTTAACCCAGCAACTTGGACTATATCCCATTTGGTATAAAGATAGTTTACAATTCTTGAAGTGTACTCAGTTTAAGAGTAATTACCCAACTTTATTATGTGTGAGAGTTAATCTTCATAAAAGCAGCAGCCTGAATGCCGATGTATATTTTTTTAAACTCTGAAGGGAAAAAAATAGATTAAAAAAACCCTTTTGTAAAGTGTTCTGTATTAGCAAACTGCTGTAATATTTGTTTTAAAAGATGTATGACGGCTTATGAAAGTGACGAGGCAATTACTTGTCCAAACTGATGAGATTCTACAGAGACTAAGTGCATTTGACTTAAAAATTTTAATTCCTTGTCACTCCATAAAAAATATGCCCCTTAAAATTTGAAGGAAGTTCAGTGAAAGACATACCACTACTAATTAAGCATCTTTTCTATACATAAAATACTAAGCACACTATACTTCTTGAATGGTATATTTTGCTATTGTTACTTGAATCATAAAACCATCTACATTTTCAATCATCTTTATTCATAAAATAAATGTACTGTACAGTACACATTCCCAGCCATCAACTGACATCAGGCATCTGCTTTACAAAAATAGCGGGTATGTTATGGAAAGTAGTCACTCCACACAATGTGAAATGTCTTTAAAACCCTAAAATTGACTTCGTTTGGGGATAGATGGGGAGAAACATCCGTACAGGTAGGTGAAGACTAGGAATAGATAAATTAAAATCACATTTAGTATTTACAAAGATAAGCACTAATCAAGCATTGTTTTGTAATAGAGCAACCTTAAGGAATTGCCACAGACTAACTGCTTTCTATTATACAAGACAGGAAATTATATTTTTAAAAAGATGCATTCAAGATAAATTTTAAGTTGTCTTTGGACACTAGTCAGTAACGGCAAAAGGGAAATTGCTATTTTCTTATAGCTCTTATGGAAATGAAATCTTTCTAATGCTGACACAGCAAAGAGGTGTTCTAGGACATGCAGGTTTTCTTAAGTTCCTAAACAAAACATGATAAGATGCTGATCTTGTAATCACTCAAAACAGAACTAATAATCTTTTCAGTAATTTTATGACCTTAATTGTAAAGCAAAATTTGAGTTTTGAGAACTTGGTAGAGTTTTGCCCTCCTCATTACAGTGCCTTTTACCACTTGTGAGCAGTTCTGTCATTACAAACGATTAACCTGCATATTTACAATATTCATCAAGCAAGCTCATACAGATTATCACATATGAAAAATCTTAACTGTAAAAGCTTCCAAGGAGGGGAAGTGTTGTTGTAAATTAGTGGGAATAGCATTACTGTACCAATGGTTCAATCAACTTTATAAACCAAGTTTTTCCATAGGCTGATAATTCAGTCTTAGACATTTATACCACCCTTGGTTTTAGCTTGCAAGGGCTCTAATGAGGGTTTTTTTTTTAAAATTGAAAAGCTATGAATATGGTTTACATTTATGAATTATCAAATGACGCTTGAGTAGCAGTCTAACAACAAAGGTTCTTTGAATCCTATGTGAAAAGTTTGAGCTGCAAAAGTATTCAGATTTGGCTAGTGCTCGTGAGTGTAATGTTTTGCTGAAAGCTTTTACTATACATATTTGAATTTTTTTTCCCACATGCCAGACAAAAGATATGCAAAAGGAGCAACACATCAACTGAGGGTTTTCCCATTCCTATTCAGGGAAGCAATTTGTCGAATTTACAAGACAAAAGGTAAGGGTTAAAATGATCTCCTCAGCTTTTCACTTCACACCTGCAGCAACTCCTATAACTTTTAATGTTACTGAATCTGTTTTTAAATTGTCAGTATCTGTGATGAACTTTAATAGAAGTATTTAGTATTGCACACACACATGAGGGCTACGTCTACACTGGCCCTTTCTTCGGAAGGGGCATGCTAATTTTGAAAGTGGGAATAGGGAAATCCGCAGGGGATTTAAATATCCCTTGTGGGATTTAAATAAACATGGCCGCCGCTTTTTTTCCGGCTTTGGGAAAAGCCGGAAAAAAGCGTCTAGACTGGCCCGATCCTCCGGAATAAAGCCCTATTCCGGAGGATCCCTTATTCCTACTTCGAAGTAGGAATAAGACCCTCCGGAAAAGGGCACTTTTTCCGGAGGATCGGGGCCAGTGTAGACGCTCTTTTCCGGCTTTTTTAAAAGCCGGAAAAAAGCGGCGGACATTTTTATTTAAATGCCGCGGGGGATATTTAAATCCCCCGCGGATTTCCCTACTACGATAGGTGAAATTAACATGCCCTTTCCGGAAAAGGGGCCAGTGTAGACCTAGCCGAGCAGAAGATACTATGACTGCCTAGAGAAAGTACCTTTACTGCTGACAACAGTATTAGGAATAACAAGATTTGTCATCTTAAAATTAGCTATTTCCTAATTGCTCTACCAAATGTACGTGAATATATTTTGAACAGGATTCTTCATGAGGTCTGTTTACACTGACTTCAACCATGTTGTTTACACGTGTCCTTTTCATGATCAGTAGTTTATATAGATTCTCTGTATGTGACTGTTTAGCTTATAATTTGTTTTGACCAGATTAACAACAAATTCATGTCCTATTCCACAACTGCATTGAGAAGCAGTTTACTACAAGAGTTAGGTCTATGGCAATTAACTATATTGTACACTGTCTAAAGCATTAAACTGAAGTCCAATTTAAAATACATGGGCTTTCTGGTGCCCTATTCATTAACCAATGCTTGACAAGCGAACCCTGATATTTTGAACTGTTAAATGTGCAAGAGTTGGTTGACTTCACAGAATCTTCAGCTCTTCCTCAGGCTCAGATCACTGCTTGTTACTAGTGCTGACAGAGATGTACTCTCAGATATATCATCTTTCTTGAGATTCAGGAATGATTCTCTGGTGATCTGAAGAATTTCCCTCAAGCCTTTGTTTTCTTGCTATAAACATGCCAAAAGAGAGAGAAAGATACTTAAAGACCATTCCAGGTGGAAATCAGGACGAAGAAAGAAAATTAGATCTGTCTTGGAAGAAAAGTGTTTGGGATGGGAGAGGAAGAAAGCAGTCTTACATTAACCTGTGATTAGAGAGAGGGGGAGTATTTAGAAGTTCTATTTTTTTGTTGTGCTGAACAGATTTTCAGCATAAAGAAAAGTGTTCAAAGGAAGAAGATAGCTTAAGTTTAAACTTAGGTTTAAAAAGACTTTTTCTTCCCCCTCACGTTAATGGGAAAACTCATAGAAAACATTCCTCTGCAGCAAAGCATTTTGCCAGGCCATAATCAGAAAGCAGCTCTGCCTGCCCTAAACATTCAGAAATATGCCAACATTTAAAAAAAAGAAGTTTAAGATACACATGCAGATGGGTTTGAAGGTTATTTGCATTCTGAAGCTTCAGGATACACTCCTATCACATCTTTAAGCTTTTGTCTACAACTATGAGGACTAAAACCTTAGTAGTTTAAAAATGAAACTTTAAACTCTTCAGTAATTTCTCTAGGAGTTGGAACTTTACATAAGACATCCTGTTGCGGGACCAAAAAAAGAAAAGAAAAAAAAAGTCACACGCAAAAGTTGGTAACAGCAAACAGACTAGCCTTACTGTCTAAACAGTATAATGCAAACAGCAGCATAAAAATTAATTAGATCACGCTAATTCAGTATCAGAGTAAACTTTTGATAGTTTTGTCATGAGACGAAGGGTATGTCTAGACTGTGGGTTTTTTCTGGGATACCCCAGAAAAACTCCGCCAAGTCCAGGGAATGCGTTTGCTTTTCTACTTTTTTTTGTGGAAGAGCAAACACGCTCTTTCGGGGAGCCCTGTATACCTCGTTCTACGAAGAATAAGGGCTCCTCCAAAAGAGGAGACTTTCCTGCCATTTGGGCCCGTGTAGAGGGGACCAAATGGCGGAAAAGCATCTTCTGGAAAAGCAATCGGAAAAAGCTACGCAAATTGCAGAGTGCAATTTGTATAGCTTTTTCCGAAAAAAAGGTATAGTGTAAACCTAGACAAAGTTGGTTCAGGTGGCACTAATTTGATTGGAAGAACAGGACCAGAAAGTTTACATAGCACAGAAGTTGAAACTAAAAACCAAAATGGAAAGCTTCCTCCATCATGCAGGACTAAAATGGCACTAAATAGAAAAGATGAAGCGTTCACCTTCAAAATTACTACTTTGCATATTTCATGGTTAGAGGTGATAAATGTTGAAAACAGTTGTTAGAATAGTTCATAGAGATCTTTATTTCAGCAAAATATCATTGCATTTTGTAATGGGCACAGAGAAGCACCAATGGTAAAGGCTTTCTCTAGTCTGGGCATTGTTGCAGACAATGTAGCATCTAATGAAATTAGAAGTCACAGTAGACAACTGGAGCCAGGGAAGTATTTGGACAAGTGTTAAACAATTTAGTGAATGCCTAGGATTGACCTAAGGGGAATACCCCTCTTTATGCTCTGGATCCCTTGGTGTGCATTAAGCTGCTGAAGCCTGAGTGAGTTCAGTTACTGCTGTAATCTCAATGTATTTATCTTCTAACAGGCACCCACTCTCAATATGAAACCACTATGCAGCCACCTAGCCCTTCTTAGCTCAGCACTGATGCTCCTCCTTCAACTCATTCCTTTGCCCAGTATGCCACCCAAAAGATGTGAAGCTTCCCATTTACAGTGCAGCAGTTGTGATACACAAATACACTTTATACCTTTATATTCTCTCATACTTAATTCTGTAAAGCACAGGAAAAAATGAACATAGAAGACACCCTAAGCACAATCTCTCAGTATCTTAAGCTTTCTATTGGAAATGGTTAAAGAATAATCCATCCCCTTGTCAGGCATGCTGTCAGAAAACAAGTGAGCTCTTCCCCATCAAGAGCAGAAGACAGCCTCCAAGCAGAGACCAGCCTCTATTCTTTTAAAACTTCAGCACTGATCAGGTGACAGTCATGTCAGCTTCCCTACATGAGCACACACTCCTGTCAGGAGACTGTTGCCAGAGTCACTTCACACCTGCTAAATTCTAACGCAGTTCTTCAGGGCAGGGACCAATCTCCTATCTAGAGTGACTAGATTTCCCATGATTGGGCACCTGAGACAATTACTCTCGTTTTGCCACAAGCCTTTGGAATTTGCAACCCTACATGGAGGCAGACAGACTACAGAGGAAGCTAAAGGCTGCAAGGTGCAACTATTTTCAACAGAACACAAACTTAGGCTTCATAATCTCACACAATTCGTAAACTGAACTGGCACATTCACAGTGGTTGAGTAGTACAACTAAAAATACATAAAGGCAGGAAAGAAAATGTCGCATTAGAGGCTAAATCCACTGATATAAAAACTGAGCAGGATCTCAAAGCACTCAAATCTGAGCATAATATGTAGCTCAATTCTCACAATACTATTTCAGCAAGTCTGCTCTTTAACCCCTTGCTGCTGTTGCCCTGACAACTAGAAGGTGATAGGGGAGATAAGCCAAGCAAAATAAATGTTTAGTGCCAAAGAGGGAAGTAGATTTAAAAAATTCTAACAGGTGGTCAAATAAAAAGTCAACTTGAAATTTGAGCAAGCGAGCATTTCAAAACTAGAAAAGTTCCTCTGCTTTGAAAATCCACACTAATTAAAAAGCAGCAGCACTGGCTTCAGTACATTTAGCAATTGGGAGAGGGGAAGAGAAAACCTGGTTTCTGCCTTAGCTTCTTTCATTTCATACTTACTTCTAGCTCAAAGATACGCTCCTGCTCTTTGCAACCGCGCTGCTCATCAATTTCAATGGCTCTTCTCATTACTGCTGCCATTTCTGTAATTTGGTCCATATGCACTTGTAGCTCCTAAACCATACATGAAATTGAAAGCTTTAGCAATATATCCTTTCCTGCATTAATACAAGTGAGCATTAAATGCATTTTAACTGCAGTGCCAATTATCAAAAGTTTGAATTTATACTGATTTATATCTAGCAGTAAATTAAGCCGCACAACTTTCCAACACTATCTGATATTATTGTGACAGTTTATCCAATAAACCTAATCATTGCCTGAGTAACTTTCTGAAGACTTAAGTCACCTTTAGTCTCATGCTTGCAGAAATTAGGATTTATCTTGCTACCATAGCACCAAAACTGACCATATAATCTCTACAGGGGTGGTGATTTTTTTTGCTCTCCTACTGAAAGGACTGTCAGGGAGAACTAGGGATGTTAAATTTTGATTATCAACTAATTGATGGATTTACCATCGATTAGTTGATAAGTGGGGGAGCCGCAGCAGGGTTAATCCCCAGCCCTGGGAGCTAACTCTGCTGTGGCTCTGCTTTTTAGATATATTAAGAGCCTGCCATCTCTGAATACATTAAAAAGGTGGAAGTGCAGCTGGACTGAGGCGCCTGGTGTGAGCCAGGAATCAGCTGTCCCAGCTCACGTTGGGTCCCCCCACCGCTGCACTTCTGATTTTTGAATGAATTAAAAGCTGTCATGCTCTTAATATATCTAAAAAGCAGAGGCACAGCATCTTTGATTGGGCATGAGGCAGGAATCAGTTGATTACTGGCTTGCACCTGGTCCCCGCTACCCCCCTGCGTCCTCAACCCCTGGCACTGATAGAGGCAGTGGGGTGTGGGGGAGAGGAGGAGCAGCAGCAACTAGTCAAGGGACTAGTCAACTATCCAATAAGCTTTTGCTTTTCAGATAGTGGGCTAGTCGCTTACATCCTTAGGATGAATATCTACTAACTCCACTGTTCAAAGAGTAATCTTCCGTATTCTATTTTTTTTTTGTGGGGTGGTCCAGACAACTTAGTTTTTTGGTAGGTGTCCTTAAACTATGTTTGGACTTTAATCAGTTTCTGTTACCTTGACTGTCCACTAAAGCACACATCAGATCTTTGGTCAAATTTTTGTTTTCGTATCACAGTAAGCGACAATTTCAGTATTCGTCTTTCCTTATTCACATCACTATTTTCTTCCTTAAAGTTACCAATGATCTTCAGATAGAGGGAAAAACTTAATAAAAATATATTATACACACACTACACCTTTCTACAAAATTATAAGCAGCCATTACTAGTATCTACCTACTGAGTTGAACAAAGTTAGGTTAATTATTTGTTTTGTCTCATATAAAGTGTGGCAAAAGATAATCAAAGTGCAATATTGAATATCTAGCAAGTCCGATTGAAGTTAGCATTTCTAGAATTGACATTGCATAGAGCCCCTTCATTGCAACAGTGGACATGGAATAATTAATTCACAAAGACAGAACTAAAAATTGGAATTACGCACTCTCTTTTCTTTCAGTATTTCTGCTGGTGGTTCTACTTTGCTACCCATTTTTCTATAATATCCTTTAATGGCTCTTCATCCTCCCTATACCACTTCAGGGTTCTGTTTTAAATTTATTCTATAAACTCTTTTGGTAACGTCAGCTGCTCCCATTGTTCAATGGTCTCCTCTATGGTAATAATTACAGATCTACAATACACCTAAGCCACTCTCCCCTGAAACCAGTAACCGATATCAGAAAAGTTAAGTAGCCCCACACATTTTATCCACCCCTGAAATACAGTATTTTACACCATTAACCCTATGTATTTTAGAAAGTATTTATTAAAATAAAAGACAATGAGGAAGAATGTAATTACTGAAGTTGGAATTTGCCAGAACTTTAAGATTAACATCTCATACTTAGTGACGAGGATTAGGCTTTAATCACTTGTAAAATAGCAGTCCTGATCACACCTCATCTGGTAGATTAATCTCCCCCAACCATGTTAGAGAACAGATTCTACACCAAGCCAGAGAAAAGCAGGTCATCCATATTAACCATTTCCTGCATCTATTGATTTTGATTTAGATATTCCATTTAAATCATAGAATCCTAGGACTGGAAGACACCTCGAGAGGTCATTGAGTCCAGTCCCCCTGCCCTCATGGCAGGACTCAATACTGTCTAGACCATCCCGGATAGACATTTATCTAACCTATTTTTAAATATCTCCAGAGATGGAGATTCCACAACCTTCCTGGGCAATTTTTTCTAGTGTTTAACCACCATGACAGTTAGGAACTTTTTCCTAATGTCAAACCTAAACCTGCCTTGCTGCAGTTTAAGCCCACAGCTTCTTGTTCTATCCTCAGAGGCCAGGAAGAACAATTTTTCCTCCCTCCTCCTCGTGACACTCTTTTAGATACCTGAAAACTACTATCATGTCCCCTCTCAATCTTCTCTTTTCCAAACTAAACAAGCCCAATTCTTTCAGTCTTCCTTCATAGTCATGTTCTTTAGACTTTTAATCATTCTTGTTGCTCTTCTCTGGACCTTCTCCAATTTCTCCATATCTTTCTTGAAATGTGGTGCCCAGAATTGGGCACAATACTCCAACTGAGGCCTAATCAGCGCAGAGTAGAGCAGAAGAATGACTTCTTGTGTTTTGCTCACAACACACTTGTTAATGCATCCTAGAATCATGTTTTTTTTTTTTTTAAACAGCTCACACTGTTGACTCATGTTTAATTTGTGGTCCCCTCTGACCCCTAAATCCCTTTCAGAAGTATTCCTTCCCAGACAGTCACTTCCCATTCTGTATGTGTGAAACTGACAGGAAGTAAGTAAGTGGAGTACTTTGTATTTGTCCTCATTAAACTTCATCCAATTTACCGAAGACCATTTCTGCAGTTTGTCCAGATGATTTTGAATTTTGACCCTATCCTCTGTCTAATGCACAGTCACACAGAAAGAACAGGGTAGAGTAGGTAACTGAACCCAAAGTCCAAGGCTAAAACTTTAACTATTAGTTGATCTTTCCCTCTATCCTCATATAAAACCAAACAACAAATTAATACTTGCAGGGGTTGGCAAAGATAAGGGCTGTTGTGTTTCACACATCTCCAACAAACAGCTTATCCACAGTAAGCACATTCCCTATGCCTCCATGGTTCCTCTACTATGCTAAACTAGGCTCATCCGTTGTTATAAGGTATACCACATCCACTGCTTCTCCCTTATCCACAAGGCTCGTTATTATATCTAAGAAAGCTATCATTTTGGTTTGACATGATTTGTTCTTTATAAATCCATGCTGGCTCTTACCTATCACCTTACTATCTTGAAAGTGTTTGCAGATCATTTCCTTAATTACTTGCTCCATTATTTTTCCTGCACAGAAGTTAAACTGACTGGTCTGTAGTTTCCTGGGTTGTTCTTATTTCCCTTTTTACAGATGGGCACTATATTTGCTCTTTTCCAATCTTCTGGAATCTTTCCTGTCGTCCATGATTTTCCAAAGATGATCGCTAAAGGCTCAGATACCTCCTCTCTCAGCTCCTCGAGTATTCTAGTATGCATTTCATCAGGCCCTGGTGTCTTGCAGGCATCTAACTTTTCTAAGTGATTTTTAACTTGTTCTTTTTTTATTTTATCTTCTAAACCTACCCCCTTTCCCACTGGCATTCACTAAGTTAGGCATTCCTTCATCAGACTTTTCAGTGAAGACCGAAACAAAGAAATCATTAAGCATATCTGCTATTTCCAAGTTTCTCCCTCCTCACTGAGCAATGGGTCTACCCTATCCTTGGTCTTCCTCTTGCTTCTAATATATCTATAGAATGTCTTCTTGTTTCCCTTTATACCTGTAGCTCGTTTTGTGCCTTTGCCTCTCTAATCTTGCCCCTGCATTCCTGTATTGTTTGCCTATATTCATCCTTTGTAATTTGTCCTAGTTTCCATTTTTTATATGACTATTTTTAGATCATGCAAGATCTCCTGGTTAAGCCTGGTTCTGCTTTTATTCTACTGACCTAAAATATTCCTGAATGATTTTTGTATAGCTGATAGTTTTGAATGCTGAATGTTAGTGAAGGTCAAACTATTCCCCAAAAGAAAAAGATTCCTGTAATATCCGTCATCATGTTCATATTAAAATCAGAAGCTTTTTTTAGAACATGTGTTAAGAGATTTGGAATTTTTTAGTAACAACCATAATATTCTATTGCTTACTATTTTGAAAAAGGTAAATCTAAAGATCTGAAAACACCACCTTTTAAAAATGTATATTCCGATTTGCTAGCTACCTCCTTTCCAGTCCATAATTAAGTGCTTAATGGACACACCAGGAGGTACTAATGAGGAAAAATCTCTGATTTAGAGTAATTCAAGTTTACATCCATTTTAACATTGTAAAGTATTACAAAAAAGGTAAAGGGTGTGCAGTTACTAGTGTCTGAGTTACAATATTGCTGTTTAAAGTACTTGGCTGTTTTAAAGTTACCAGATGGCACTAGTCCATAGCAAGGATCAAGTGCCTGCAAAAATAAAAAAAAATTGTCAAAACAGTCTTTAGGATGTTTACAATTAAACTGTTCATAGCAGGAAATTGCATGACAAGTTTAAATTCAGAACATATTTCTACATGATTTAGACCAGTTTTTACTATTTAATACCATTCACATATTTTTCTGGTATGTATAGCACCAGCATAAATGTTTTCAAATTTCTGTCTAAAAAGCGCCAGTTACAGAAAACTTAGAAAATTTCAGTAGACTAGTGCCAAAAATTGTCACTTTGTAGAACAGTAATGAACTGCTAAAGCAAAATAAATTCCTTGGACACCAAATTTGGAGTACAGGCAGTCCCCGGGTTACGTACAAGATAGGGACTGTAGGTTTGTTCTTAAGTTGAATTTGTATGTAAGTCGGAACTGGTACATATTGTAGGGGAAACTCTAGCCAAACATTTATCCAGAGCTCAGTTTTATTCTCCCACACCTCACTTCCCTCAGTCCTTTATTCTCAAGCTAAGGTGTCTGCTGAGAAAAGCTGCTCCGCGTCTCCCTGGTCTGCTGGGGGGCGCGCTAGCTTCGCGTCTCCGTTGTCTGCTGGGGGAAAGCAGCTAGTGCGGGGCTGCCTCACCCCATTTGTAAGTAGGGATCCGATGTAAGTCGGATCCATGTAACCCGGGGACTGCCTGTATAGTCTTAATGCGCATAAGAAATAGAAGCTTTTAGACTGCACTTCAAGATTACACAACATAACTGACTGTATAAAACTAGTGGGAAGTGCAAGTGGTGAAATTCCAGGCATACTGACTCATTAGTATCTCTCCAACAGACATGCTAAATCGATTTAATTGGACCAAAAAGTTCAAGGTGGTCTTGAAATCTCTCTACTAAAACAAACTCTTCATGTAAATCAGAGGGAGATACAGTGAGAGTTGTGTTATCCAGCTCCATACCAAAAGGACAGCTCTGCACGGTAGGGCTACGTCTAGACTAGCATGATTTTGCAGAAATACTTTTAATGGAAAAGTTTTTCTGTTAAAAGTATTTCTGCAAAAGAGCGTCTAGATTGGCAAGGATGCTTTTGCGCAAAAGCATCTGTGCTAATCTAGACGCGCTTTTGCGAAAGAAAGCTCCGATGGCCATTTTAGCCATCGGGCTTTCTTGCGCAAAAAATTAAGGTGCCTGTCTATACTGGCCCTCTTGTGCAAGAGGGCTTATCCCTGAGCGGGAGGAAGCGTGAAAGTATTTGCGCAAGAAGCACTGATTTTGTACATTACAAAGTCAGTGCTCTTGCGCAAATTCAAGTTGCCAGTGTAGACAGCTTGCAAATTTTTGCCAGTCTAGATGCACCCTAGCATTCCTAATCTTCATAAGAAGTCTAGTTTATAGTCTGTTTGAAGTGGGTCTGGCAGGCTCCTTACCCAGCTCTGCATGACTCTCTGAAAGCAGTGACATTTCTGTGTTCCTTCTAGGCGGTGGAATGGCCACAAAGGGTTCAGGTGGCATGGGCTCTGGGAAGGAGCTTAGTGGAGGAAGGGTCTTGGGGAAGGAGGTTGGGGTAAAGGCAGTGTTTTACCTGCAGCATAACTAGGTGGCTCCTTCCACTGTCTCCCCCCCGCAGGCATATCTAGAATCCCAAAACCTGGCCTACACCCTCATCTCTTGCCCCCAATCTCCCTCCTGCACACAAACTCCCTCCCTTTAGTTAACTGGAATTTTTCCGCTTACTGGCACCCCTAATTCCCCAACATCAGAGGTGGACAAAAGTGTGATGGGAAGCCACTCCAAGAATTTGGTAAATGGTCAAAGGTCACATTCTTCCATTATATTAATGGAGGAGGTGCAGGGATCTGGGAGGAAGTTTGGGTGGAAGAGACTGTGACCAGGGGAGCAGACGGGGGTGCATGGTCTATGACCTGGAGAGTGTGACCTGGGGTAGAAGTGCAGGGGTATTGGTTGTGACCTGGGACAGGGGTGCTGGGTCTGGGAGCGGGGGAGAGGGTAGGGGTATAGGAGAGGACTCTGGCATGGGGAAGGGGTGTAGGAGAAGAGAGTGCTGAGTCTGGGAGGAGAGTTGTGACCTGAGAAAGGGTCAGGAGGGGATATTCTAATCTGGGAAGGTGCAGGGGTACAAAAGTTTTGGGTTACATAGGGTAGGAGTGTATGGTGGGGACAGAGGGTTGGGGGAGGGAATGGGGTGCCAGAGGCAGGCTTTGGCTAGGAGACCTTGCCTGGCCAGCTCCCAGCCAGCAGGTTCCTTAGCCAGGGTCCCTGCCTTCCATGCCCTTATATGTGCTCGGAGCAGCTGCAGGGTCCATATTTGCTATTGTGAACTGAACGCTATGAGCCTAGGGGATATGGGGCACACACTGCCTGTCCTGCTAACAGGCAGCTGCTATTGGCTGGAAATGGGACACTGGGAGCTACTGGGGCAGGGACAATACGAGAAGCTTCTTGTCCCCTCCTGTGCTCTCAGCATTAAGGGACACACATATGCTCCCGCAGCCAGCTTTACTGCATGCCAAGGAGGAGTGGGACAGGCAGGGAGTTGGCTGGCCCATGGACCATATTTTGTCCAGCCCTGCCCAACATGCTGGATTAAACAAAAAAAACCTCCACACACAACTGTCACTATATTGTTTTCTTGCTTAGGACTTAAACACAATAATGCTTCATCTTTATATCTTCTAGAAGCATATACTAACTTTATAGTACTTGCATTTCTTTAATTTATCAATGTCCTTTCTATTTGAAATTTTTGTCTATGAAGCTACTTCTGGTACCTAACAATGCTTTTTATTCTATTATTTGTATGTAAAATCTATTTCTAAAGCTCTTCTAATGCAATAGTGCACAGTAACCATTACAGTACTTTCCATTAATTAAAAGTTTATTGTACCATGTTACAAAGGTACAATTTAAATACATATCAATTACTTTTAAAAGATGAATTCAACATTCACACTTTCTGACAAAAGCTTATTAAAGGCGAAGAACCAAAATAACATCGGTCCGCCTGATTAGGAGCTGAATACTTTCATTTGTATTGATTTATATATCTCCCACTGATAGCAAGTTAGAAAAACATTGGCTCTTAGTAATCCTTTACTCTTCTCTGATCATCAAGCAGCTCACCTAATATGGACAGCTTCCAGTTCCACTTAGACATCCTACAATGTACTGGTTACTCCATACCATCTCTGATTAGTGCTAAAACAGGAAGTCTGCCAGAAGGGATGGGAGAAGAGAAGAAAGATAAGCCTGTTTTTTCAATATTCAGAAGGTTCTCTCAAAACTACTTTAATACCTTCAGAAAAGCGACTGAATATTGAACAAACAAGGTTTACCTTATTGACCCAGCACTGATCACAGAGCCATTAAAGTCACCAGTGCATGCTGGAACACTGAGCTAATTTAAATTACTGGAGACTGACAGCCAAAAGTCCAATATGGCATAGCTGCTTCTCCCCTTCCCCAAAAATCTACAAGAGAATTATAGAAATGTTGTAGTGAAATGCTCTTTGAATGCATGAACACAAATATTTAGTAAAGTTGATTGGTTAGCCTGAACAAGCTGCCTGTCGATGTTTAAGTAGGCTATTCTATAAAAATTAGGGAACCGATAAGATTTAAAAAAAACAGGTGGCTAGATCTAATAAGCAACTATGTTAATGTAGCCTATGAAATAAATGGGAATTGAAGATGCTCTGTACCATATACAAAATGCTCAAACTCTTGCCCAAGCCTTATACTATGTGCTGCACTTCTTAATTTTCAATTTTTTTCTAAGTAGGTTTTAAATAACACTGTCTTCCAAATGTATTTCAACTGGACTAGTTCATAAAAGGCACAAGAAAATGAAAATTTGCCTGGTGGCTTTTTTACATAGATTCTTATTTGCTCAGATGACAAAGCTAGAAAGGGATAATATGAGATAAGGTCAAATATTGTTTAGATTATAGTTCCCCTAATTTAATTGTTTCCTGTGCTTATGCCTCTTTCATAGAGCATTTGGTTTTGTAAGTTGGGCCACAGTTTTAGTATCTATGATACTCTTAAAAAACAACAAATAGTCTGGCAGCACTTTAAAAACTAACAAAATATGTAGATGGTATCATGAGCTTTCATGGGCACAGTGCCCACGAAAGCTCATGATACCATCTATATGTTTTGTTAGTTTTTAAAGTGCTACCAGACTATTTGTTGTTTTTAAAGTGAATCCTGTACAGACTAACTTGGCTATCCCCTGAAGCTTTTTAGTAGAAGCAGTCCCCGGGTTACGTACAAGATAGGGACTGTAGGTTTGTTCTTAAGTTGAATCTGTATGTAAGTCGGAACTGGCGTCCAGATTCACCCGCTGTTGAAACCGATCAGTTTCAGCAGCGGCTGAATCTGGATGCCAGTTCCAACTTACATACAGATTCAACTTAAGAACAAACCTACAGTCCCTATCTTGTACGTAACCCGGGGACTGCCTGTACTTTCTAATGTAAAAATTCATTTGTTCAATTATCTTACATTTAAACATGAATAAGTTTTTTAAAGAGACTTATTACCTTGGAATGTTGCTCTTTTAACTTCGTAATTATACCTGGATCATCCTTTTTGCTGGCCATAAGCAGCCTGAACATCTGCTCTCTGTATTTGCTCATTATGAGTTCCAAAGCAGACTGATGTTCTTCAAGAGATGTACGTAGTTCTAACAAAAATAATTTAAGAATTGTTTCAAGACATGCATGCAAAAATTATTCATTTGCAAAAAACAAATAAAAGCTCTTAGATACCACCAAATAAAGTCTGCATAGTGCTTTTACGGAGTTCTCCCACAGCCAGAACCAGGCCCTATGGAGCCCCCTTTATTGCGGTCCCATCCCTTTTTAAACGGGAGTAAAGTGGCCATAGAAAAGGGTGAGGATCTCACTCCTACTTCTTCACTTAAAACACCCAGTGCAGAGTTTATCTGGAAGTTGGGCTACTGTTTTAACCTGTAACTCTGCAGCATTTGTCTGAATTTAAACATAAGCAAAATTTTGTTTTCTGATGCAATATTTTGTGATTCTTCAGTATATAGTACCAGCAGTTCATTTTCAAAAAGCTAAGCTTCTCTGTACCAAAGGCTCAAAGGGATTAAAATTGTATTTTGTAAGCTGGGCTGACCTTTGAGTTGGTGCTCTACAAAAAAAAGAGTATGAGAGATGAGACTAGTGAATATGAGTGTTCCCTTGTTTAGAGTACCCCAAAACTATTGAGATGTTTAATTAGATTATTTTTTTTTAAATAGAAGAGTCCCCTGTACATAAATTATTTTCTTGGCAACTTCAAGATATACCCACAAATATATATATTTTATAGTAGCAGTTAATGTTATTTATTCTGTGACTTGACTAAGAGCTTTAAGACCTATAGAAAAATGCCAGCAAAACTATAATTTAGCAAAACTATAATTTAAAAATATCTCAAAGGAAGAGAATGCATGAATTTTTTTAATTCACCATTGTAATAAAATCTCCATATGCACTGGTTTTGTAGATATCTGACTGATTATACTAGAAGAATTTAAGATAAAAACAAAATTCTTAGGATAAGACCCTAAGTCCATTGAAGTCAATGACAAAACTCCCATTGATTTTAATGGAGCAGGATCAGATCCTAAAACAAAATATTAAGCCTCACCTTTATTTTCCTGTTGCAGTTCTCTAATCTGTCTGTTTTCCTGTTGGATACCCATTACTAAGGTAGATCGAGGCCGATGTCTTGCTACCTCATTGAGTTCTTGAATTTCTTCTTGGTACTAATTGTAGAATTAAACAGATTAAAAAAAACAATTGTGTAAATGAGGCCAAGTAGCTGCATTAGTCCTTACTAGTTTCAAAGTTGGAATCTGACCAATATTAAATAGCTCTTACGATACACTGTTATTAATCAGCAAGTAATTAGAGATCATTAACAAAAGCTAGTTTGTAATAATATTCTTATGCCTGGAGGTTTTGCTGACCATTATAATCCTCCTGAGATGCAACATTTACTTCACGACTTTAAATAAAAGGTGACTTTTTTTTTTAAAACATGACTGAGATTGACAGGATGGATACTAAGGTGGATACTACAGAAGCTATTACCCACACTTAGCAAAACAGATTCTAATAATATTCACTGGTTAAATTAACAGCAGAAAGGAAATTGTTTACCCACTTAAAATAATCTGTACAGGCTACTTTGTCATGGAAGAAAATATAAAGATGAGAATTCTCATGCAAAAGTAAACAGGAGATTGTGTTGCTCTTTTATGAAGAATAATATTTTTGCTTACTCCTGCATGTCTGAGCTAACAGGTTTTTTAATTTTATAAAGACTTAGATAAGGACACTGAAAGTGCTGTAATAAATCATAAAACCCAATCCTACAGATGCATGACTATTCTTAACTTTAAGCATGTACCGGTTTGTAGGATGGGATCATAGTAATCAACAAGTAATTTATTTGTAGGTCTGAGACAAGAGACTTAATGTCAGAGTTCATCTCAATCCCCATGAGATAGTAGGTATTGTATATTAAACCTATAATGCACTACTACATCAGTGTTTCCCAAATGGTGCTCCGCAGAACCCTGAGGTTCCACAAAGTGTGAAAGTAAGGGTTCCGTGAGAACCCGAACACTCCCCCGCCCACTGAAGAGACAGAGAGGAACCTGGCGCGAAAAGACACTGGCTCCTTCTCTGGTTCCCTGCTGGGCTTTCAGACACCTCCCCTGCCCCGCTGCCGGTCTGCCTTTACCAAGGGACCTAGCAGCAGCAACAACTGCTGGTCCCACTTCTCCCGATCAACCCAAAATTCCTCTCCCCCCGTCCACCGCTGCCACTCTGCTTTTACAAAGCGACCAGGTGGTGCTGCTGCTACTAGGTCCCTTTGTAAAAGCAGAGCAGCAGTGGGAGATGGGGGAGAGGAATCTTGGGTTGATCGGGAGAAGCAGGACCAGCAGCTGTTGCTAGGTCCCTTTGTAAAGGCAGAATGTGTGTGGAGTGTACTATCACATGGCATGTTGTGTAACACCGGAAATCCATTACTCACTATGAAGGAGCAGAAATCCCTATACACACTGTGAGGACGTGTGGCTCGTCTCTGACTTTAAGAATAAGTTAATATCAAAATTCCCCATGGATCATTGCTTAAAAGAAGGAACTTTAAAGAAAAAAGTGAGTACTTCAAACTCCCATATTTTTATTGAAACCGGCAAGGAAAATACTGAGGCAGTTCAAGTTAATTATGAAAAATTACAGCCAACTAATAAACGCAGGTATGTGTCATTTGGATTCACAAGCAATGGAAATGAAGATGCTCCCGGTGCCCAGGGTGTACTGTGCAACAAAATATTATCTAATAGTTGTTCAGTACCTGCTAAATTGAGAAGACATTTTGAAACAAAATTCAGAATACAGAGATAAAGACATTTGTTTTTGTTTTTTTAGCAGAAGCTTGAATCTCTTGAAAAAAGAAAACTGTCAAAAACTGCCAAATCTGATTATGAAAATGCAACAGAGGAGTCTTACAAATTTAGCTATTGTATATAGCTCGCCAAAGAAGCACACACTATTGGGGAAATCACTCATAAAACAATGTACAAAAGATATTGTAATGTGTATGTTGGATCAGGTGTCTTGTCAAAAAGTTGAGCCTGTGCTGCTATCAAACAGTACTGTCACATGTCGTATTCATGATCTTGCTGCTGACATCGAGAAGGAGCTTATTTTTCGGCTGCATTTATGTGATGCATATGCATTACAATTAGATGAGTCCACTGACATTGCAGGTCTTGCAGTTTTGCTTGTATTTGTCAGTTATGATTTTAATAGTTCTACTGAAGAAGACTTACTTTTATGTGAATTTTTGCAAACCAATACAACTGGTGAGAATATATTCAACTGTATCAATAACTTTTCGAAAACACATGAAATAAGCTTGGAAAACTATATTGGTGTGTGCAGTGATGGTGCCAACGCAATGGTAGGAACAGTGGCTCATGTTGTAACACAAATAAAATACATAGCACCAAACTGCACCAGCAGTCATTGCATTCTTCACAGATACGCTCTAGTAGTGAAGAATATTTCTCCCTCTTAAAAATGTGTTGGACGAAGCAGTACAGATTATTAATTATATAAAAACTCGACCATTACAATCAAGACTGTTCAAAATTGTGAGATGATATGGGGAGTCAGCACACAGCCCTGCTTTTACATACAGAAGTAGGCACCTATCGCGAGGCAAAATGCTGGTTAGATTATGAGTTACATCATGAGCTCTCTGCATATTTGATGGATCACAAATTCCAACTGTCTGATCGTTTAACAAACTTTTTGTGTTTATCAAGAGTTGCGTATCTTGCAGACATCTTTACAAAACTAAATGAAGTAAATCTGTCGCTGCAAGGAAAGACTATATATTTTTAATGCGAAAGATAAAATTGTCATTGTCACGGAAGCTACAGTTTTGGATCTCGTTTGTAGGACAAAATAATTTGGATTGTTTACCATCCCTGAATGATTTCTTTGAAGAAAATGAATGCAAACTTGATGAAGATATTTTCAGCGACATTGCAGATCATCCCCGCGATTTATTCACAAACATCATTAAGTATTTTCCAACCATAAATGACAACAATAACTGGATTCGAAATCCATTAAGTTTAACAGAAAAGCCAGTCAGTTTTTCTACATAAGATTATGAAAAGCTAATGAAAATTGCTTCAGACAGCCAATTAATACAAAAATTTAAAGAAGTTTCTCTGATTACATTTTGGGGTGTGACTCATGTCAAAATCAAGAATATTCATCTTTATCAAGACATGCAATTCGTCAGTCGTTACCCTTCGCCAGCACATACTTGTGCGAAACTGGGCTCTCGAACTATCCAGCAACAAAAATGAAATACAGAAATTGACTGAATGCTGCGCCAGATATGCGAATCCAATTTTCTAATATTAAACCAAATATAAAAAGAATTTGCCAAGAAAAGAAAAACCACTCTTCGCATTGAAAACTGTCAATATAATTCATATTATTTTTTAGCTTTATTTTTGTACACATTTAATGTGATTTTTGTTTTAAAATATGTTGAATTAAAATGAATGGTGATCTCATGACCGTATTTAGCATCTTCTTACTACTAATTGTGATGTAAGCCCGGTCTGTGTTTGGGTCGCGGGGGTTTGGGGTCCCCCCCCCCCCAACAAACTTTTTCCCTGGCGGTAGGGGTTCCTTTAAATTTTTCTGAGTTTAAAAGGGTTCTGTGGTCAAATAAAATTGGGAAACACTGCACTACATTGTAGTAGTCAAGGTTAACTAAACCAGTTTGAAACAGTGATGTTTCAAGTGTTTTCAAAGTGTCTTTTTAAGTGAGTAAGCAAAATAGGAAAACAAACCTGCTTCATTGCTTCCACCCGCTTGTTGAGAGCTGTAGTCTGTTCAATAAGAGCTTCTGCTGCGTTGTCATGTTCTCTTAGTCGTTCCACTAGTGCTTTAGCATCAGCTAGGGCTCTCTCAATCGTACAACTCATTTCTTTAAACAAACAAACAAACAAACAAAGTTATTTTCAAGACTAAGAACTGTTTATCCTACAGCTACATCACTATCATGTCATACCTCAATCAAATGTGTTTTCATTAACTCAGATGCAATCAAATAACATTATTTCCCTCATCCCCAAATAAGGAGAAACATCCTCATTCTGCAGGAACTACTTTCTCCTTGGGAACAAGAAAAACTGCATTCTGCAGGGAATCTGAGGCCCCCCACTTCCTTCACCCATCTCTGAGCTCCAAACTCAAGGTCATGCTCATGCACCACAGCAAAGCTTCCTTTCAGCTCTTGGGTATTACAAAAAAAAGTCACATTAACTGAAGTTAAAGATACCTATTAATAGCCATCAAAAATACAGGGATAGCACTTTCTCCTGTTAGCTGCAATAATCGGCTTTAAGTGTAATTCCTAGCAATCTTAATAATGGAATACTATGTTCAAAGGTCATCCAGAGAGTTCTCTTCTTGTAAACTTAAACAACAAATAGTATGGTTGTACTTTAAAGACTAACAAAACATGTAGATGGTATCATGAGCTTTCATGGGCAAAGCCCACTTCTCACTCTTTTTGTAAGACAGGACAGAGATGTTATCTATTCTGAAAGTGGAATAGCCAGAATTTAATATGGATTGTGAAGGGAAACTAGTCTAGAGCATGAAGGGAAATGTGATGCTGGCACCTTCATTTTGTGTTATTCTTGCGGCTTGTTCCTTCAGAAGAATGTTACAGAAATCAATATTTTTGTGACAGTGGTGTGATTTTTGCATAGCTTCTTTATGAAGTGAATATGAAAAGAGGAAAATAAAAATATGTAAATTTGGTTACTAAAGAGATGGTGGTGTTTAAGCTTAAAAAAATTATTTTAAAGGTCCCAGCAATATATTAGAGAAGGTGAACATCTAGAATTCATGCTGAAAGGTTAGGAATAAATACTTATGTCAAAATATGGATACTTAACAGTACAAAGCAACACAGAAATTTAGGACACAAAATGAATATTTGAAACTCAATTAAACCTTCATGCTCTATTTTACTACCACTGTAACCTAGGGATATAAAATCCCATTTAGTTGTTTAAAAGGTTAAACACATTTACCCAATGGCTGTGTCTAGACTGGCCAGTTTTTCCAGAAAATCAGCTGTTTTTCTGGAAAAACTTGCCAGCTGTCTACACTGGCCGCTTGAATTTCCGCAAAAGCACTGACTTCCTACCGCAAGAAGCTCTGATTTCTTACAGAAATACTATTCTGCTCCCATTCAGGCAAAAGTCCCTTTTGCGCAAAGCTTTTGCGCAAAAGGGCCAGTGTACACAGCTCAGATTTGTTTTCCGCAAAAAAGCCCTGATCGCGAAAATGGTGATCGGGGCTTTTTTGCGGAAAAGCGTGTCTAGATTGGCACGGACGCTTTTCCGCAAAAAGTGCTTTTGCAGAAAAGCGTCCATGCCAATCTAGACGCTCTGTTCCGCAAATGCTTTTAACGGAAAATTTTTCCGTTAAAAGCATTTCCGGAAAATCATTCCAATCTAGACGCAGCCAATGTGTGTGTGGGATTGCAGGCAAGCACCAGCTCCCTCCTGCTCTCCCCCACCCTATGCTGCTTCTGTATCAGAGGCAGAAGCACAGAGGGCAGGTGGCTCTGCAGGAAATGGTATGCATGGGGAGTAGGTTTGAATGTTGCCTGCTCCTCCCCTCAGTCGCCTATTAGGGATGTGAATGACTAGTCAAAGCAGTAGCGCAGCATGGAGCCTGGGGTCTGCTGCTTTGAAATGCCCATGTGCAGCCTGGAGCCAGCTGGGAGACCCAGCTGACCTGAGGCTCCCTGTGCACTGCTGCTTTGAGATATTGCAGGGAGCATAGGGCCAGCGGGGAATTGCTTGCATCCCCCCCACTGTCCCCATGCTCCACGCAGCACTTTTGCCTTTGAAGTGTAGCAACAGCCCTGGAGCTGTTGCTACACTTTAAATGGCTGATTGAATAGTTGATAAGGGTGCCTCCACCTTTAATCTAAATTTTACTTCCCTACTCTCTATCAGAGGCAGCAGCACAAGGGTGGGAAGCTCAATGGGAGCCAGTGCTTGTGGGGAGCCACGCTGTCTCCACTGGCACATACCAGCTCTCATCTGCCCCAACACAGAGGCAACAGTGCAGGTGTATGTGCGGGGGCAGTAGGCATGGTGGGAGCAGGGACAGACAGCTGGGGGAGGGGGAGAGTGGAGGCAGGGGTGCATGTAACCATGAAAGTTAACTGAGCTCAGCCTTATCCATTTACCATGTACATGGATACATGTTAACATCCCTACTCAGAGTTAGCAGAGACCAAAATCAGCAGCTCTGACAGCCCAGCAACACATGGTTGCTTATTACCACTTCCTGCCTTTAATGAATGGCTTTGAAGCTTATCCAACTCTGTTGCATTCAAAACATTAACTCCGTCCACACATACCATCTTGCCATACTTTTCTCCGTGTCTGCTAAAAAGCCTCCCTATAAGGCGTTTAATTTCTCTCCCCGTTGTTAACCAGCACTCGAGCAAAAATGCAAAGGGCACGTTTTGGAAGACACCGCGTGCAACCTCATGTCAAACAGAACGAGCAGCATTCGCCTTCGTAGGTTAAAAAAACATCCTTCCGCGTCTGACAGCAAAACATTTAAGCGCTGTGGTCCGTGTCTGCTAAAAAGCCTCCCTATAAGGCGTTTAATTTCTCTCCCCGTTGTTAACCAGCACTCGAGCAAAAATGCAAAGGGCACGTTTTGGAAGACACCGCGTGCAACCTCATGTCAAACAGAACGAGCAGCATTCGCCTTCGTAGGTTAAAAAAACATCCTTCCGCGTCTGACAGCAAAACATTTAAGCGCTGTGGCCAGGTGAGCGCGCGTGGTTGGGAGCCTGGCCGCGAGGAGCTCGGGCCCCCCAGCCAACACAAATA